TCTTAGTCTCATGCCATGTTCCTGCTAATTACTGTTGATTAGCAAACAGCTTGGCAATTAATCTTGGCAAGTTAGTCATCAGTTTGATAGCACTGCATGTCATCCAAAAGGTAGGGGGAATTTATTGTTAGTTTCAGACAATTAGCAAGGGGCTGGCAGAGCTCACAACTGCCTAAAAGCTCAGTGTTCCAGAACTGCTGAGATGAATTACTGAATCAATTAAATCACATCAGTGGATGTCTGCAAGCATATTTAAAGGTAGCAAACAAGCCACCGAGAATTAGGGGGAGGAGAAAGACTAGCAGGAGGGTTTTTTGGTGTTGTGTTTGGTGGTGTTTTTTTCTTAAGCTGTTGGAGTTTGTTTTATTTTGCCATTAAAATTAGTTTAATATAGCTAAAAGCTAGTGTTGACTTAAAGTGAAATAGTCTGGTAAAGAGTAAGAACTAAAATGACTTTCCTTCCAAAGTGGTTAACTTTTCTGAAAGGCAAAGAAGTTGTTATTGCTAATGCTATAATTGCAATACTGACAATTGGTGGGCAGCAGCTTTTCTCTTTTTTCACGTTCAGCTGTCCCTGTCATGTTGGACAGAACCTTATTTATGGGCTGGCTTTCCTAGGAGTTCCTGCACTGATCCTTCTGATTCTTGGCTATGCCCTGAATAACCAAACTTGGAGGCTGGTTACAGGCAGAAGATCGCATTTTGAGAACATGACTACATCAGACCGGTTACTGAAATGCAAACTGATCTGCTTTGTCTTGTGTAGCATCACTGGGAGAGCACTGGTTGCTCCAGTAACGTGGCTAGCAGTCACCCTGATAAATGGCTCATATTATATCTGTGCTGTGAGTGAGTACGTCCCCACGTATTATTATGGAACTAATCCTAACGTTACTGCCAGTGAACGCAGAAGGATATTGGCTACATTTCCGTGCAGTCAGTTAGTTCCACCAGACATGACCCGGGCAAGAGATGAAGTGATTCTCCTACTCCGATACCAGTCACAAGTGAGTAACTCTGTTGCCTGTGAACCTGATGATGAGAGGTAGAGTTAATTCATCAGGCTAAGTGTTAGGATAGAACAAGATCAGTACCTTGTGTCACGAGCGTAAAATCTCTGTGCGTTTTGAAGCCTGATTTTTTCTTCTAAGTGGAACTGAATTTTAGGTATATAAGTTACTATATCTGGTTGTCCCATTTGTTACCTGCTATGGGAGGATATATTCTTCCTTGTGTAGTATCCTGAAAAGTACTATCAAGTAAGACAAATGAAAGTCAAAGAGCCAAGGAGGGTATGAAGCTTCTTCATTAAAGAACAAGAAATGTGTGGCTAAGGGGCCCAGGCTATGAGAGTTCCATGGCAACCAAGATAAAACCTTGGGTTTTAGATCAGATTCAATTTTAAAAGTTTACATACTGGGTAAATAATAGGGTAAACATCAAGTTGACACTTCTGAGAAAATTGGTTTTAAACAGGCCATAAGCTAATACAGTATGGAAGTTACATGGCTTCTCTTCTAATAATAACAGCTGTTAGAGCAATATACTTAAAATCATACAACAGAACTTTCTTAAACCTGACAGGAACAAGTGACTTTACTACACAGCTGCCTGCAGTAGGCATAGACTGTTTGGTGACAACAGACTTTTCCCAGGGTTATACCTTGTTAACATTATTATTTAGGACAAGCAAGTAAAGATCACATGGATTTTCTGGTGTTCAGAAGTTACCACTGTATTTTCAGAATGTAACAGTTCTTTCTTTTCTTTTTCTTTGTAAGGTGGCTGGTTGGCTTCTGATTGCTGTGGTAGTCATCACTGTCTTCCTGTCTTACTGCCTGGCAAGCTGTTTCTCCCCGCTCAGCTTTCTGCATTTCAGATACTGGAGCAGCTATGTTCACAATGAGCAGGAGCTCTTTGACGAGGCGACGGAGCAGCACTCCAGGCTCTATGCCATGCAGCATGTAAGGAAGTTTTTTGGCTTTGTCCCAGGAAGTGAAAATGTAAAGGAAATTCGCATCCCATCTCTCAGAGAGTGGCAAGCCATTTCTGGACTGGCCTTTCTAAAACAAGTGGATGAGGAGCACTATGATTATAGTCTCCTCCATGACTGGGCACTCAAGGAACGTGCAAATGGAAGATACTTGAAGACTGATGAGGACCCTTTGATCAGAACACAGCTCTGAGGATCCAAGCCACCACACCACCTTGCAGAAATGCAGGAACCTGTCTAGCTCTGTATCAGATCTGAGTGGCTCTGGAACTTTCCAATGCATTATTACACTGATATATAAAGTATGTGAGCAAGCACATCTTGTTAATGTCGTCCTTTAGCACATGCTTACAGATGCCTTTACTGATAGCATCTGACTCCTAGAGGATGTGAACTAAGTCTAGATTAGGGTGGGCTGTTTCAAACTGCAGGTCTCTGCTTTCTGATAGTTGTGCTAAAAGGATAAGTTTGTACTGGGAAAGTTATTTGCAGATGCTTTTTTGAAATTTTTTTCTTCCCATTAAAAAAGACTTTTAATAGCTAGACTTTGACAGTATCCTCTGAGTTGGTCCATTCTGTACAGAGCAAAAGCAGCTATTCAGCTTTTCTCTTAGTGAGCTCTAGCATAATTACTTATGTCTCCTCTTCTACTTTTTTTTTTTTTTTTGTATTGTATGAATAAAGTACACTGAACTAACTATAAGCTAAGTCTGTGGCTACAGTAGCACAAAAGAAACATAGGGGAAATCTTATTGCCAAAGGTTGAGTCTAGATACAATGATGAGAGAACTTTCAATTCTGGTAAGGGGAGAAAATTCCCACTGAGGCAAAGGATGGAGGTATCCAACATGTAGCAGCTGTATGAACAAAAACTTGACATTTGGTAAACTGAGTTGAAAGGTATTCCGGCTGAAAGCAATAGCAAGATCAGTCTTGTTTTTAAAAACATCTCGAAATCTCTCAGGTGTTTGTGTGCTTGCCCACTGTACAAATAGCAAATCAGGACAGGAAAAAAAAATCTCATTTTGTGCAGTAAGGTTTGCTTTGCCTTCAAAAATCTTGTAGTTTAGACATACTACTGGGCTCATGAATGTTACTGTGAGAAGGCTTAATGATGTCTTTGTGTTAATTCAGTGTGGTATGATGTGATGTTGCTCATCTCCTCTCTAACTCCTTGTGCAGATGTTTCTAACTCTAAAAGGGGTTGGGGGGGAAACGCATACAATAATTTTTCCTAATGCTTCCTGTATTGCCTTGTCATGTACGTATACACATCTTGTATGCTCCAAAGCTACATGCTAAACTACAGGATGCTACCTGCTATTAATAAATGACCCCTGGTGGTTGAGGTGGAGAAATATAATTTTTGGTATGTTTTACTAGAAAATGCAGAAGCCAGTTGCATTACAAATCATGGTAAATGTGTATGATCTTGGAGATTTAAACTTCTAAACAAAAGCAAGCATTTTAGCAAATGCAAACAATGTATTTGTTAAATAACTGGAAACTCTGCATCACTTTATATCATTCATTTGAACCCTAAGCTTTTGCATAGGTAGTGGGTTGACCCTGACCAGAAAACAGGTCCCCACCAAAGCTCCTCTGTCACTCCCCTCCTCAGCTGGAGAAGGGACAAAGGCTATAAGGAAAGGCTCATGGCTTGAGATAAGGAGAGGGAGAGATCACTCCCCATTTACTGTCACGGGTAAAACAATTCCACTTGGAGAAATTAGTTTATTTTATTACCAATCAAAGCAGAGTAGGACAACGAGAAAACTGAATCTTACAGTATCTTTGCCCCCTGCCTTCCTTCTTCCTGAGCTCACTTTCACTCACAAATTTTCTACCTCCTCTCATTAATGCAGGGGGAGAGTTAAGGGGGCTTGAGGGCAGTCCATCACATATTGTCTCTGCTGTTCCTTCCTTCTCAGCGGAGGACTTCTCACGTTCCTCCCCTGCTCCAGTGTGTGATACCTCCCACAGGCGCGAGTCCTCCACGAGCATCTTCCAATTTCTGGCAGAAATGACATTCAGCTCCCTTCACGGTACCCTTCTACGATACCTAGAGCATCGGGTTTGAATCCTGTTCAGTTTGCTGATCCCTTTAAGTTTTCAATGCAAGAACGCTGAAGGGTGGGTAACACAGCAACGGGCTCTTTGTAGCGACCCTGAAGCCTGCCTCTCCAGGTTGGGAGCCCACACACCACTGCAAGTCCAAGTAACACAGACCGCCGACCCCACCTCCGCCACCGCCGCTGCTCCCGGGAAGGGCAGGGAAGCAGCGCACGTGCGGAGCGCACCTTGGCGCGAGGATTCCTCCTGCACGGCAGGTACGGGCGGGCAAACGCGCCCAGCCCGCTCCGCCCGGAGCTGAACGCCAGGCAGCAAGCGCTGGAATTCGCTGAGCAGAGGGCACGGCACCTTATGCCTCCCGTAACGATGAAGACGACCCAGGCCGGCTCCCTGTCCCCTCCCCTCCGCCTTTCGCCCGGCCCGGCGTTACCAGCAGCGCCCGCCGCTCCGCCTCCCTCCCTCCGTCCCTCCCTCCCGTGCAGCCCAAAGGCATCCAGCGCAGAGCGCGAGCGCTAGGCATGCTAGGAAGGGAGGGCAGCCGGCGGGGAGGACGCAGGCGCGGGCGGGCGGGGAGCGGCGGCGGGGCCGGGGTCGCTGCGCGGGGCGGGCGGCCCATGGCCGTGGGCGGCGGCGGCGCCGGGCGACGATGACCGACTACAGCGAGGAGCAGCGCAACGAGCTGGAGGCGCTGGAGTCCATCTACCCGGACTCGTTCACGGGTGAGCCGCGGCGGGGCCGCGCCGTGCCGGCGGGACGGGCGGGAGGCCGCGCTGGGGCTGCCCCGGGGCTCCCGCGGTGCTCAGGAGCACCCCCTCCCCTCCCGGCCTGGATGGCTTTTTCGGGCTTTTTGTTTGCCTTCCCATGGGGGTAGAGGAAGAGCAAAGCACTTGGTGGCTCTCGTGGCCAGGCAGGTGAGCGGCGTGGGCGCCGCCTCTGCCGCGTTTGGCGCCGTGGCACAGCCTGCCCGGCGTGGGCACCCGCTCCTGCATCCCAGCCCGGGCTGCGGCCGGTGGAAGGATGCTCTTGGGAGAATCCTTTCAAAAGATGCGGCCCTAGGTGGCAGCTGGGGAATTGGCTGCGTGACGGCTAGTTTTCCTTTTCGGTAATAGCTTGTCGCGACCGTGCAGCACGGGATGTTTTGGGGCACCTAAAGATGCTGTTTTCTCCGTGAATGTCCTCAGCCAGTACCTGCCTTATTCTTTTGCTGGTCTGTGGTGGAAAAAAGGCAAGCTTTAATTCCTTGGTGAAGTATGTTTTACTACTGAAACTTTTGTAGGATGGATACGTTGGTTCGTCAGTTTTCCAGGACTTCCAAGTTACTATCAAACTATTAAGAGTATCTACCGTGTTAGCTAATCCAACATGGTTTATGTTGCTCAGTATCCAAATAATTTTAACGGTGAAAGAAATAGGACATTTTCAGTATCTACTCTGCCCAAAGTCCCACAGTATCTTGTTTGACAGCAACTTAATCACACAGATGTTTGTCCATTGCTTCAATCAGAAAATCTTTTTGGTTCTTCAGTTTTATGTTAAAGATTAGTTAAAGACATGTAAATTGATCTCTGGTAGCTGGGGACAGTGAATCACTGATATGGAACTAATATTCTTTCGTAAAGTCTTCGCTCTGATGCTAACTCCACAGTTATTGTTCATTCATGTAATGCTTTTATGCCCAAGAGAAGAAAAGGGAATAAAGATAGTAGTAGTACATTAGCAATTAGGCAAAATTCACATAATACTTTGAGAGAATGTATGCTAGTTTGACCATAGGTTGTAACACTGATACACAGAGAGCAATCCTTATGTGAGGATATGCTCTGCAACCCACAGTTGTGCAGTGAGGTTTTCAGCCTGTGAAACGCAGATCACAGCACTTGCATTCTGTGCATCTCCACAGGAGCCACTCTTTGTCTGTCTTCTAGCTGCCTAATTCACACACTTTCATTCTGGTACATTACTTGGCTAGTCCATTCTTGAAAGAAGACCCTGTGTATTCCTTTTTTTGTTTCAAGAAGCATTTCTTACATTAAGCTGCCCTAAATATAGGTGCGGACATACTGTAAAAATAGTCCAAGGTCAAGAGTACACTGGATGTATCTGTCACAGTAAAGCAAATTAGCTTTGGGAGCTTTCAGAACGCATTCTAGGCACTAAAATAAGTCATTTGATAGTAGGCAGATTTGTACTTTCTGAAAAAGTGAAACTGCCAGAAGAGAAAGTTTTCCAGAAGAGAAATTTCTTGGTATTGTTGGTGTTAAATGTGCTCATTCAAAGAGCACTCCAGGCATCACATCAAATGGAAAGCAGCTTCCATCAAATGGAAGGCCCTAAACACTGTATCTAGAGCTTCCTTTCATCATTAGTCCTTGACAAGTTTTAGTGATGTGAAGAAGTAGTTGACCGATTTAAGGAATCTCTCACTGACTTTTTTTTTCCTTTGAACAGTATTGTCAGAAAAGCCAACAACTTTCACGATCACTGTGACATCTGAAGCTGGAGAAAATGATGAAAGTAAGTTGGTCATGTCTTAAACATATATAAAGGAGGAGTTTCTGTGTAGGCCTAATTCTATCACCAAATGTTTACCTCCATTTAAGTCCTCTTAGGGGCCTGATACAGCAAACAGTCCTCAGCAAATGAAGTTCAAGGATTTTGGTGATCCTTGTTTAGTTTACAGAAATGTAAATGCTCTCAGTAGGACTGCTTTCTGCTGAATCTCAAAGGCTTTGTAGAGTAGCTTCAAAAAGTATGGGTTGTCATCATCCTTGTAGCAGCTTACAGCCACGTGAGGGGATTTTTAACTAGCAATTGTATGTATGCCTGTCACAAGGGAGAGTTGAGTTTGTGGGCTCTGAGTGTGCAGCCCTTAAGGAACAGTACCAGAGCAGAGGGCTGTGGGTCCCAAGTCACTGTGTATTTGTTGGATGTCAGCAATTGCATGGGCATGATGTAAGCAAGCCTTGCTCCAAGCTGGTTTGGAAGCTGCTATTCTGGATTACTATAACAGAAGAAATAAGCTGGTGCTGTCTTGTTAAGTTTTAAAGGAGCAAGTCCTGCTTGGAGCAGGTGTCTGTGTTGAAGTGACTGATGGGCTGCCAAGAACTGTGAGTCTGCAACTAAGGGAAAGCTTCTCCTTGGTATTCTGTGAGGATGTGTAAAAGGACCTTGATTTTCTCTTACACTGTTTCCATGTTATCCTGGCTCTGAGCAGCTTCAGCTTGAATGTGTTTTCCTTAGGTGGTTCTCTGCTTAATACCTCCTAATGGACATAGTGTTTTTGTCATAAGATTTATGGGGAACTGTGGAACCCAACAGAGGTTGATAATCCAACCAGGCACACAATTTAAAGTGCTAATATGCTGAGATTCTCTTTAGGTATGTTGTTAGGACTCTTCACCATTTTCCAGCTTTAAGTAGAGTAAGAGGGAGAAGAGATTACTGCTCTGGTATCCACCATACCGCAGAAGGTTTTCCAGTCTTCCTGAAGACCTTTCAGACATGAATAGCTTATAATAGTTTGTGCAAGTGTAAACTTGTTCATAATCTTAATTTCTCAGAACTCTTGGTTTATGTTTAAATCTGTTCATATTATTTTAATATCTGTGTAAGAAGACCATTCTCTTAAGGCAAGAATATTTTATAATCTTTAGGCTGTCTATACAATAGAAAAATATACAAGAAATTTATATAGATTTACCACTATAAGAATGTGTGTTTTTTTATCTTGTAGCGGTCCAAACAACCCTTAAATTTACCTATAGAGAAAAATACCCTGATGAAACTCCACTTTATGAAGTTGTCTCACAGGAGAATCTTGACGATAATGATGTCACAGACATTATAAAACTGCTAGAGCAGCAGGTAAGGAAAATGGAATATCGTGATACAGCTTGATATCACTTTACACTTTAGCCAGAACTCTCTCAAATCAGTTGTTTTCTGAGGTATGCGCTACTGATCTGAAAGCAGTTCCATACTGTAGGGACTGACTGTGAGGTTTGAGTTTGGTGAATGACATTATTGAGGTAAACTGTGGTAATGAGGTAAGATATAGGGCTAATTCAGCGTGTATGATAATGAAATGGAAGTGCACTAGAGCCTCCCCTCATTTGCAGCTCTAGCTTAAGGCTAATTTGTCTAACTGTATATATAGTATTTATGGAAATAAGCCATTTCAGTTTTATTTGGAAATACTGAAAAATGCCACATTGATTCTTGATTCTTTTTAATAATGTAACTTTGGGTGGTGGGGGTGGATCTCTTCAACCTTTGGGATCAGTGAGAGTGCCTCGTGAAGGAACGAGAAGGAAACCCTTCTTTGGTTTCAGGAATTCCTGACAAGTCCTCCCTTCCATAAAATTGCCATAAGATGTCCAGTAAGCTTTCTTTCATTTCACTTTACTTCATGTTAACTTCCATCAACTGATGTTTTTTGATTTTCCTGGGAAACTGTCTCACTTCAAAGGAGCATGTAATAGGATTAAGGAATAAACCTGCAGGAGGGGTTCTGAGTGACTCTTGGCTCTTATGATTTATAATACTCAAATTTTAGAGTTGTATTTCTACTACATATTTTATTTTGTTCATGAAAAAGCTTTCCAGATGTCTATAATGTGTTGACAACCTGAACACAGGTGTTCAGCTTTGTGTTTTGCTGCACACCCATGTGGGGATTACTAGCTGGATTAAATGGCCAGTTGATTTGAATTCTACAGCACACTTTTGAGACTGGTGCAGAATGCGTCAGCTGTGCTGTCTGCATTTGCACAGCATCCTGCTTTCTAAATGCACTTACGCATTCATCTGCTGAAGGTTTGAGGTTCTTCTGTTTGAAGTTGCCTTCTTTGTGTTGTAGGCAGAAGAAAATTTAGGAATGGTAATGATCTTCACTCTAGTCTCAGCAGTACAGGAGAAATTAAATGAAATAGTGGATCAAATAAAAACACGAAGAGAAGAGGAGAAGAAACAGAAAGAAAGAGAAGCAGAAGAAGAGGAGAAAGTATGTAAAATAATGTTTTCAACTAGAAAGACTTCCTGCTTTTTTGAAATGTGTGGGTTTGAAGCAGGAGCAGTTCTTAGTTGCTGAGGAAAAGGAACAGCTATCCCAAAGATGATATAACTGAAACTTATGTTCTAGAAGATTGTTTAGTGCAATTAAGGCTTTTTTTTCCTTATTCTATAAAGCAGTCTTTTAAGAGACTATAACTGCTTGTTCACAATCCATTCTAGCATTACTTCCTAAGGAAGGGGCAGGGATTTTTCCCAGATGAAGTCAAGGTTGCTGTAAACAGGTTTTTGTCTGAGAAGCAAAAGGGGATGGGGATCAAGAAAAGCTAGAATATGTCACGCTGCACACAGGCTTTGTGGTTTGAGGAAGGTTCTCTTCTTGGTAAACTGATTGGATAGGGTGGAAGCAGTGGGACCAGTCTTCAAGACTGGTTTGTCCTCCTTGTACGTGTTCATTCAACCAACAACTGTAGAACTGTTTTTCCATTCATGGAATATGCCATTGTAAGTCCAACTAATGAGTCTTCATTTATGTCCTGAGAAATAACTAGAGGGTGATGGGACTTGGAAGGTTTAGTATTTCTGAAAATGGCAGAGAAATAGTTGAGAAACAATAATACTTTTTTTTCCTGTTTCAACAACATAAAGGGGTTAATGTATTTTAATGGTAAAGATGTAAGTGTAGATTGCCCTTAAGGGTTGATAAGAAACCTGCCTACTTATAGATAACTTGTATTAGTGATGCATTTTGAACTATTGCACTCTTAGGTCCAAAAGTAATATGCAGGGCTTTTCCATGAGAGTTTCCACCTCAGTGTAGTTCTCTGAAGGGAGAGTCCCATGAAAAAAACATAAGAGTGTGTTCTTTGTCTGTTCTCAGTTAGGATTAATTTCTCAGAATACTTCACAGTAAGCAGTGCTTTTTGGAATGTTGAAATTTCAATAATTAAGAGAATGCTCATCTTCACCCATAGCTTTGCAAGTTGTGTTTGCAGCCTTGTTTTCTGTTCTTTCAGCAACGTTTTCATGGCACTCCTGTTACCATTGAGAATTTCCTAAATTGGAAAGCCAAGTTCGATGCAGAACTCCTAGAAATAAAAAGGAAAAAGATGAAAGAAGAAGAACAAGCAGGCAAAAATAAATTAAGTGGTATGTTTTAATTCTGGTTGTGATGTTTCTGCAATGTTATGAGACTATAATGATAAGTCTAAAAGTAATTTTTGCTATGAAAGATGATAGTAGCTCTTAATGCAGTATCTGATTATTGCCCTCCATGTCATGTGAAGTCTTTCTGAATGCTGATTTTGAACTAAATAGAAAGCTAATAGGTACAGGATTTCTGCTGAAATCATTAAGATTTCCAAATTCTGTGTTTAAGCCAGTGTACCACTTGGAGCTGCTGATATCAGGGACAAATAGCTGGGGTTTGTTAAGCAACAGGATGAATCTACATCAACAGTTTATTGATTTGGCCTTTATTGCACTGGATTGTACAGTGACTTCAGATTATCTAAGCACATGTAGAAGTTTGGGATGCTGTTGCTGGACTGAAGCAACGCAGCGGCTGCTGCATATGACAAACTTACAATGACTAGTGAGAATGGCTCTGATATTTTGGGGAAGAGCTTGTCCTAGTAGTGGTTTTGTGCTCTTTGTTTTGCTGATCACAGTTCATTCAGTAGAAAGCAAACTGTATCCAGTGAGAAAAATGTGGAGGAAATTATTTTTCTTATGAGAACCTGTAGGCAAGAATTAGGTCCTGGGCATCCTCTTCTGCAGTCTGCATGACTTAGCCTTGAACTGGTTCTCCTGTGATGTTTGATCTACTTTCTAACCCGATTACCTGAGAAAGCATGACCAGTGCGGTTGTGCTGTATCACTGTTCTGTTTTCTCCTCATTTCCAGAGGCTTTTGAAACTTGACAGTCTAGTCTGATGAAATTTGACAAAGATGGAAATGTTAATGGTAGTAAGTTTCATAAAAAGCTGTGCAGGGCAGGGGACACGCGTGATTCCTCTCTGACAGTAATGCATTTGGGAATCTGCAAAGATGAGAACAGAAACAAGGATTCTAGTTTTTCTTTTCGTAATAGTATTGTTAGTAAGTTTCTGTTTTCCTCTGCACAAATCTAGTTTATAAAAGCTCCCCTTTACAAAACCAAAACAGGGCTTATTCTTGGATGCCATTGGTGTAACACCAGTATTACCAACCAGTCTTGTCTGTGGAAGCTTGCATAAGCAATGCAAATGTATGTGGAAGATGGGTGATTTACATGGAAAGAGTCCAGAGCTTTTCTTCCTGTTCCTCCCAATCAGAAAGGCTTCACTTTGCTTGCCCTCACAGGTGTGTGTGTGTGTGTGTGTGTGTGTGTGTTGGAGCTGGTGATTTGTGTATAGATCCAAGTTGCTTTTCAGGTGAGAGGATATGTGGAAATAGATGGAGGAGTCAGCTTTCTGTTTTAGTTCCCACAGAGGATTTCTTGTGGAATGCAAGATGAAGACAAAAGCAATAAGGACTGAACACAGGATGTGGGGCAGTATGGTGTAAATTTTTCTGCCCCCTCCCATTATTAAAGCCTTAATAACATAAAAGTTATAAATAAGAAACACTGACCCATTTATCATGTAAGAGGAGAAAGCCTGCTGGCTTGTATGAATCCTGGATGAATAGTCATAAAACCACAATGGGCAACTTAGAGAAGCAAACAGTTTAAAAAAAAAGTCTCCTAGAATTAGTAAATATGAAAATACTAAAATATGTGTGCTAACTTGTTGCCTTAGGTTGTTTCAGAATTCTACTTACTTATAAATTATTTTTTATTTCTAGGTAAACAGCTGTTTGAAATGGATCACAACCTTGACACTTCTGACATCCAGTTCTTGGAGGATGGTAAATTTCTATTTGTTTCTACAACTGAAAGACCATGGTTTAAAATAGATCAATTCCTAAGCAACATCTGTGTTGCATTTCTGACTTAATATCTTCCCTCAGTATCACTTTTACATTGGAAGAACTTTCTGATAAGCACTGTTTTTCAAAGTGAAGTGATTTTGACTTTTAAAAACAAAGGAAATCTTTTCAAGATGATAGAACATATTCATTGCAGCATTGAGCTTGAGTTGATCTTATTTCTATTGTTTCTGTTCAAATGATTGGACTGGAAGCAAAACAAACAAACAAAAAAGAAACCCAACCAAACCCTGCTTTTTGTTTGTTGTTTTTGTTTTTTTTTTTTTTTCTAATACCCAGCCTTCTTAGCCCTGATTTAAAGCACAGGTCTTGAAGTTCTGTCTCCTTCTCTCTGAACCTCAGCACCAATAGTAAACATCTTGCAGGTCAAAACAAATGCTGTTTGCTTCTGTGTAACCCAGTTCTTCACGGCTTTTGCACATTTGCCCGTTATCTTGGCTAAAATATCAACCTAGTGCCAATTTAAAGTTTTGTAAGACTGTGCCAGAAAAATTTTAAACTTGGAAAATCTGTTGGAGGTAAAGCAAAGAAATCTATTAATAATCACATACCTATTTAACTTGCTGTACCACCTTTTAGTGTCCTAGTTTGAAATGCATGATTTCTGAGTTAGGGCAATTCTTTCATGCAGCCACATTGTCTACTGGTATCACAAAACACAGGCAGGAGAGCATCAAGAATCTTCTCTGAAAGTAACAGTTAAACAAAATATTTATGAATGTCAGTGAGCATAAACTTGAATTGGCAATAATGGGGGAGTTTAGTTTCTTTTAGAAGGACTAATTTAAACTTGTCTTCCTCCAAAATACCTGTAGTGAAGATGGTTTGTTGATGTCACATTTGGCTGCCTCAAGGGGGAAACAAACCTCTGGGCTCTGTGCCCAAATTATTTAGGGTTAATGTAATAACTTTTAATCCTGTTGCAATTGGTGATTAAAAACTCACAGTTTTATTGCTGTTTGCATTCTATCATAAATGCAAGAGCTTACTAATGGTATTGTAACATTATAACAGTGTTTAATGGAATTTTCAGAGCATAATGACATTATCTTTAGATAGAAATGGTTATAAAGGCTTTTTCAAATCCAGTGAAATAATAGAAACTTATTTGATGACCAGAAGATGTCACTGTTGGTGCATGCAAATAAAATAGCAGCAGTCCTCAAGTTTTATCCTCAGGTCAGCAGCATCTCTTTCAGAAGAAAACATGAAACTATGCAAAGCTTCATCTTGCTTGTCAAATATAAATCTGAAGGCAAATGTATGTATATAGGCGTATGGTGTGTAAGGAATATTTTATAAACCCAGTGTGTTTATGTGATTATGATAGTTGTAACTATTCCAGCAGTGAGGTCCTGAGCTCCTACTCTGGCAGTCCTGTGGAGAAAGGATCTCTGCTTCTGGCAACTATAAATTTTAATTTCATTCTCCCAATGAATCCTGAGATCCTGTGCCACATTTCTTTTGAATGGGTTTTGTTATGAGGGAAAAATAGCTTCGCTTTAGCTGTAAAAAGATGAAATGTGGTGTTCCTTTTTTATATCTATTTGATATATAAAAAATAAGTTTGCAGCTGCCTACGTTGAAGAACTAATATGAGAAAGTCTTTTGCATTTTCAGTTACTGTTTCGTAGTTGCATGAAAATAAATGATTTTTCTGTTCTTTACAGCTGGAAACAATGTGGAGGTTGATGAATCTTTATTCCAAGAGATGGATGATTTAGAATTGGAGGATGAAGAGGATGACCCTGACTACAACCCTGTTAATTTAGATAGTGATTAGACTTATTTGAACTGATTCTGTCATCAGTATGGACATATGTAAGGAAAGAGGAGCAGGCCAGAAAGCCACAGCATCTGTGGTTTTAGTAATGAGTATTGGTTTTCTTTCTTCTTTCTTTTTTTTTTTTTTTAATTTTTTCTCCAAAGAAAAAAACCAAAATATTTTAAATCCAGGAGAATGGTCTTCTGATGACTTTCACTATAAATAAATTTACTTTAATATTTCAAATGGAAAATTTGAGAAATAATAATCTGTCTGCAAAATGCTTGTCTAGTTTCTCTTATTTTTTTCCTTCCCACTTCCATAATTGGCCTTTGAAGAGACGTGGCAACAAAGCAAGATGGAAAGATGTTACAGCAAGCACTAAACACATCTGCGTCTAGAGGCTGAGCAGCTCTTCTGCTGTCTTCCACCTGGAATATACATGGGCAGCTTCAGTGAGTAAAAGGGATCACATACTATGCAGTTATTTATTTTTTTGGTTTTTTTCCCCTCCTGTGATGTTTTTAACACTTCAGGTCAGTTCTGATGCCCCAACCTATAACCTGTAGATAGACAGCACTAGTTACCTTTGTTGTGTAGCCTTATTAAACTTTAATGGAAACCGTTTCCATACAATTAAATTTTTTTGCCATCATCATGAATAATATCTTCAAAATGACTAGTTCAGGTCTGTAGGGAAAAAATCAGAACATGATCAGGTCCTCTTAACTTTTGGTTGATTTGTTCAGAGAGGGTGGATTTTTTTGAATGTGTGCATCCATAAATTTCCGTGAAAAGTCAAACCCCACCCTAGGAAAATCAGTTTGCTTTTAGCAACTGGGTGCATCAAAACACTATCAGTGGAGTGCAGATTGCAGTACCAGGTCTTATAGAGTGCTTTTAGGTTTCAGTGTAATGGGTGTAGTTTTAGAAGCATCTTCTTGGTAGCCTATGAAGGTTAGCACAACATGCAGTAAGAGCTAGACATCAACTTGGGGATGTTACTCATCCTTCAGAGTTGTTTCTGGAGCTAACAGATGTTAGACTCCTCCCTTACCACCTCCAAAAATCCCCAAGCACTGCAAGAACTGTGGTGTTTAAACATGCTGTGTTTGAAACTGCATCACTAGAAGGATGAGGGTATGGGTGAAGGTTTCAAAAGAGAGCTCTCCAGATAGAAAGACAGGCCCCTCAATGATTAAACACTATGTGCTGAATTTTAAATGCTGTTAGTAGACTGCCTTAACTGTGCCCTTCAATCTTTGAAGAGGGTTGCACTAAAGTACCACATTGCTTAGAGGAATAATAAATTTATGAATTTTAATATTTGAAAATTCCGTATTCAAAATGACAAGTTTAGTTCCAGAAATAATTTAATGGGGTATAAGATTCTCTGCTCATATCGCCTGAGAACATCTGTTTAGGATGATCTCCTTTAACATGTTTTAGTAGAGTTTTTTTGGGTTTCTTACTGTATTCAAAATTAATGAATTTCTAGTAGATAAAATAAATGTTCAAGTACCCTGTAAATACTTTTATAAATTAACCATGTGCCTTTGTTCCTAGTCTTCTCTTTGATCTTTTTAATTTTGGCTACTAAGAACTCTAGATAAGTATCTAGGTTTCAATGATAATGTATGTTTCAAAGCAATAAGCAGGATCTGTGTTCCAGCAGAGTTACCAAATACATTAAAAATTGTGAGCTAATGTGATATTAAATCTGACTTTTCCAAAGATATGGTTGGATTGAAAACTTTGTAGTTACTACATCCAGCTTCCTGTGTAATTGCTAGGATACTTCAAAATGCTCTTCAGTATTGAACCTAATTTACTTCTGGTATGTTTCAATTCAGCTGCATAGAAAATCTATTTAATTCCTAAGGAGGCTTTCCATTTTCAGCTATGTATGTTTATAACTGGCATTTTTTTCATAAGAGGAGAAAATTAGTTCTCTTTAAATTTGGACTGAATCCAAGAATGCTGTAGCCTGTGCAAAATGTGGTAGTCATAAATTTTTCCAAGTGGGTCACTGAAAGGAATCATCTACATACGAAAGAAAGTTTCTTGTTAATGATATTTGTAGATTAATGAAATTTTCTAGTCCATTTTCACACTAACGTATTTATTGGTTTTCATTCAGAGGATGTATAGCTTAAAAAATGTTACAAATATATAAAACAAGTTAAAATGTGAAAATATGTTTCCACTGTTGTATTTCAAAGCAGAGGAAATAATAAGGGTTGAAGTGACAAAAAAATTGCATAAAGTATGTTCCTCCAGGTCTTTGGAACAAGTTTCAGTGACTCAATCTGAACTGCAGATTTGTTTAGCTTTGTTAGAAATTAACATCTGTGAAATAAAAGGGAATTTGACTGAGAGTAAGGTTGTTAATGTGTGTGTGTGTCTTCCTTTGCTGAAGTGGACTGAGATAAGGGGTTTTTTGGTGGCAAAAATTTAGGTGGGATGTTTAAATTTGCTTACACACTTTGGATTAGATTGAAGTCTTTTTATTAATTTAATAAAATCCCATTGATAAACTTTGACAGAATTACAGTAATTCAAAGTCATGGCACTGAAAATCTGTCTTGTGTCTTGCTTTTAACTGCCCAAGTCCAAAGCGTACATTGTGATGTGTGTAGGGAGATAACACTGGACTGTGACCAGAGCTAATATACCTGTGAAGATGCTGAATGTCTTGAATAGTTGGTGCCTGAGCTTTATTGAAATTCAGAGCATGGCACGTACCACATCAAGATGCTGTAGGAGTACAATCTTGAGCTACAATTTCTAGCTGCAAAGCCTAGGATTTTGCATCCAAATTATGGTTGCATTTTCGGTATATCTTTTTTTTTCTTTCCTTCCTTCCATCTGATTGAAAAGATCACTGGTCCTCTTGTTAGAAGTTCAAAGTCAGAGGTCAGGTGATGCAGTGGTTACACAAGACAAGTAAGAGTGAGGTTTGGGTTTTTTGGTTGGTTGGTTTTGGGTTTGTTTGTTTATTTCTGCTTTTTTGGTGTTTTGTGGTTTTTTTGGGAGGGGATGGGGTGGGTTTGTTTGTAACTTATTTTCTTTGTATCAGGGATACAAATTTCCAGGAAGAACTTCTTGTAGGCTAATTACCTGAGGTCACCTTTACCCAGTGGAAACAGCTAACTGTGCCTTGCATCAAGCAACTGTGTACAGATAAAAGCAGGAAAAAAGTACCAGAAGGCTAAAATAGGTGGACTGAAAGTGAGAAGAAGGAGCTGGTCCCTTGAGACTCATGAAATAAGCAAACATGCAATTTTGTGAACTGCAAGGTTATTTTACATTTCTAGACAATTCATGGAAAGGCCAAGGTTAGATGCTCTTTGCCAAATCAAAGTGATTATTTGGAGAAGTTTGGGTTTTTATTAAATAGAAGCTGTATCCTGCTATGGCTGGTTGTAAGGGCATTGATTTATTAGCAATCAGGAAGTCACCAGAGCTTGAGCATGTAGACATCATAGCAGGAAGCAGGGGTCAGGGCCCAGAACTTGTCTTCCTCACCAGGGAAGTACAGTTGGTGTCTGAAAAAAAGGTTGGAAGAAAATGTTCCCTCTTCAGATCATGTCCTTTGCGCTCCTGGCTGGGGCTGTGCTTAAATGGATGGAAGGCTTTGGAGTGGGAAAAATGCTAGAGGTGTGTCAGAGACTTAACAGGTGCATATACGGGGAGAAGAGAAACTACAGCTCTAGGTTGTGAGTAGTTTCAATGGATAGAGCTGAGGAATACTCAGGACTCCCCTTTGTAAGTAAGTCGTTACTGTCTACGATGGTGAATGTATCCTAGATCAAATGCATGTTATGAGTAGAGTTGTTGAATTTGCAAATAGTTTTGAATTGTTGATAAGAAGAAACACTGAGATATGTCTACATATCTCCTCAGGTAAATCCCTGGGCAAGCCACTGCATGGAGCTGAACCATGAACAGGTTAAATCATGGTAGTGAGTCAATTAATACATAAGGAAGGACATACTCATAGACAGCTGTTTACAAGAGTGTGCTATTCTTGGAAGAGAAAAGCAGATCAAAGTCCTTCTGTCGCTTTCTGCACACAAGCGTTTAACCAAATATTTATGGTCTTGCAAACAGATCCAAACGGGATTCTGTTGTTTCTATGAGGCAACTATTTGCAAAGAAGATAAAATCCCAGGGGACTGACAATAAGAGTAGTTATTTTATTTAGCACTGAACCCAAGCAGATTCATTCTCTCTCTCAGGGCAAACTTGAGTAGTGATTCAGGTTAAGTTCTGTGTCTCAGTAAGGTTATTTTAATGTTTTGTTACCACATTGCTCTTTCCTGTGATGCCCAGTTCATGTTTGAAATTTACCCCATTACCTTGCTCCAGCTGCAATTCCCTGAGAAGGCAGTTGTTTGTTATACCATGATTGTCTTGGTTGGTCGGACCTTTACATGGCATTCCTGGTGTCACACTGAAATGAGTAAGACATCAACAACTTGACCTTAATAAATCTAATTAGTTGCTCTGACACTCCCGGAGTGCTTGTTAAAAAGAAACCAAAAAACCAATCAAACAAAAAACCCTCCAGCAAAACGAAACAAAAAACCAAATCCAAAAATCTACTCAGAGCTTGTCATAAGGTCATATTTACAAAAGGAATCAAATATCTCAAATGGCTGGTTGGTGTCCAGGGGGTGCCAAGAATCACTGCTAAAAGAGCCCTTGCAGAGGCACCTTCAGCTGCATCAAGCAAGGCCCCCACTCTTCTGCTCACCTATCCCCTGGCTGCTCCATGGTAATAACGTAGGAATAAAATGGCACATACAAAGAAGTATTCGGATTTGGCACCTTACAAGCTTTCCACTGAAACACCAGCTTAACCCCAATAGCAGTTTGAACACAGAAGCCAAGAGCTGGTACTGCAATTCCTGCTTCTTCAGCTTACACATCTGGGCACAGTGTCACACCGGTAAAGAGCACGCTTGAGCTGGAATCAGCAGAGCCTGAGTGAGGAACAAACTCAGCCCCAGTCACAGGCAGGTGTGGGAACAGTGCAGAAGACATTGAATCATATCTACAAGAGGTTAAAATGACTGTGTGACTGCAAAACTTCACATGACATGACATGTGCCACATAGACCAGGGCTAATAAGGGAGCTGATGTCCCTAGTGTCAGCCCGTGTCCTCTCCTAAGTCCTGAAACCTTTTACAGCTTACAGGCCACCTCTACATACCTACTGAAATAAATGCATTTTCATAAATTTTTTTTACTTTCATGCATATTTCAGAAAAATAGGTGATTCATGGGTTGTAATATCTTTACATGCTCAAGTGTTCCACTACTTCCAAAAACTGCCAGAGTACATGAAAGTACATGAGAGAAACAGGTTCATGGAAAGGCTCTTACACCTCTTAACTAGGGGCTAACGTAGAAAAGAGTCTAAATGAAAGGGACGTACCTAAGGTCCAGTTACAACAACTGGAGGCTATGGCACGATTCAGTTAATTAAGCAAAGGCATATGATACTATCTGCAACACACTCAACCATCCCTCCCAGCCTCCAGCTGCCCTCCCTGAGAGGCATGGCTCTTACTTTCAACCAGAGCAGCATGTCTTAGATACACTAAGGTGCCCCAAACACCACGATACTTGTTTCAGCAAAGAGCTCCACATGTTCTTAAACGGCATTAACCCTGCAGCAGAGCTGCTAGTCAAAAGCCAGTTCAAATGTCCTTTTGAGATGCCTTTGAGACCTAGGGGTTATACATTTTAAAACATACACAAACATAGAAATTAAAAAAAGGATGATGTTAAAGAAACACTTTTAAAAACATATTTATTTTATTTATCCACGGTACAAAAGAAATATCTTCCTATACCTCAAAGGATTGTCTTGAGCGTCATTTAAAGCACACGCACTGTATCTGGACAGCACTTTCTTAGACCTCACAGCTAATGCCACCACTGATCCTCCTCTGTGTTCAGGCTTACAGATGATACCTCTAGAGAAACCACCTAACTGAAAAGCAGTTCAGTAGTAAACTAATCCCTTGTGGAACGGACTGTACTGTGAAGAAACAGAGGACTGGTCACAGAGGGCACATAATTACATTTACAGACATAAACCATCACCAGGAACTCCAGCAAAGTAGTTCCATAGTATCTTTATCCACTGCTTATTAACAACAGTGCATAGCTTGATACAAGACAGTAGGTGTTGCTCATTTAAGCAACTAAGAAAATTACACATTTTCTCGTAAGACAAAGACTGCAGCACTTCAGAGTTAGTTACATCAGGATGGCAGTTTTGACTGAACACCAAAACTACAGGTTTACTCCAGTGTTGTGCTTTTCCAGAACCCCCAAGCATTTACAGAGATATAGTTCGAGTCTAGAAATTGTTGAGTTAGGGTCACAGTCCACAAGTTTAATGTTTTGCATCCAACAAATTCCACAAACAGGTAATAAAGGTATCCTTTAAGGAATCTTCTCTGATGTTAAGACCTGAGAAGCACGGCAGCGAGCCTAAAAATAGGTGAGAAGAGAGGGAAATGAGAATAACTTAATTAACAAAACTACCACTTTAGAGAGCTTTTTCCAAATTAGTAGTGTAGTAAGCTTAATGAGTATAAAGGGTTATATTTCATCTTAATTAAATGGGAGCTTTCAAGATAACATTTTTAACCACTGATATTTTTAAATATAAATCAAATCTTTGAAAACAAGGGAAAAAAATGTACCAAACTAAAGACAACAAACCCACACCTTCCCAATCCCAAACGACACTTCTTTTTACTATGTCTTGAATTTTAAAGCTTTTACCAGTAGGAGAGGAGGAGAAATATTTCACTAATATTTCTGACATGTTCAGGGCCAGACAACACTTAAGACAGTACCTCATTTCAACATACACGTTAAATACAGTTGAGCAAGTAATTCAGTCACCAGTTATTTAACAGCTTAAATGAAAGTCTGTCCTGAAGTCTGAATGTAAGGCACCACAGAATTGGAACAGGGGTCCTCAGAATCAACTTGTTAGTGTAGGGAAGAGAAAGTCTTACAACAAAAACTACATATGACAATCAGCTGAAACCTTCTAAGGTCCTAAAAAAGCTAAAGTGCCCAAAGCCAAACACATGTAAAGGGTTTAGAAAAATTGCAACAGCTCAAACATTTAAGTTTTTCAGACCTGTGTTTTAGATATATGAAGTTCTAAATAGTTCTAGAAAGCTGAATGCACTAGTTGTAGTGTCCAAGCTGAGGAGACATTGGCTAGGCCTCAGTCTCTGTGCACCTTGTTCTTCAGCCATCAAAGGCTTACAGACACCACATAGCTTTACAAAATTGCAATAAAAACCTCTGAACATATTTTGCACTGTGAATCTTTGTAAG